GACAGAGCAGGAGAGGAGCACAGCACCCACTACTCACCTCACCTCAGAGGCCAGAGCCTAAGCCCCGTTAGAGCCAGGCCAGCCCCAAGCACACACCCCGGACACACCTCCACCTGGGCCCTCAGACCAGCCTGCGTTGCGCTGAGCATGTCCTGTTGCCTCCGTGGGGTTGGCTCTGCCTGTGTGGCTGCGAAGAGGCCTGTATATATTAAAAGCCAAATTAGCATGATTCTCCGGTGGTGAATAGGAAAAGTCAGACCCTGCCTTCAAGCCGCTTACAATCTAGAGGGGAGTCCACACTGTAACAGGAAGCACCAGTTGGGCTCTGCAGCTGCAGCTCGGTTGCCCTCAGCCCAACTGAACAAGTGCAGACAAACTTGGAGCCAGCCTCTGCTCTGGGAGCCGAGGGGAAGCAGTGTGAGCCAGGTCAACAAGCAGAGGGACAGCTGACATGAAGGCACGCAAGCTTCCAAACGGCCAGCGTTCATTGCTGCTGTGGGGTGGAGCTGGAGCAGGGAGTGGTGGGAGATGCCACTGGACCAGTGGGCAAGGCCCGGAGGGGTCGGGCCTGGCATGCCAAGCTCTGAAGCACCCATAATAGGATCATGCTGAGGCACCAGCCTGCAGATCTGGGGGCAGGCTGCATGTGTTCCAGTTTGCATTTGAGAAAGATGGCTGGCCCTAGGAGGGACGACTGAGGGAGCTCAGGGGGAAAGAGAGTCTGTGCCATACCAGCTGCAGTGAGGATGGGAGAGAGCGAGGTAGGAGTTAGTCTGCTGGAGTCGGTGATTGATTGGAAGTGAAGACGGATAAACGAAAAGGGGGCAGGGGTCCAAGGATAACTCCCAGATTCCTGGTCAGGGCCACTGAGTGCATGGACAATGGGGCCGTTCACTGGCCCAAGAAACACTGGGGCAGAAATGTACTTGTTTGGCAAATGGTGAACTTGTGCTTGTGGAACAACCAAGGGACAGCTGCTTTCTGCAGTCTGGGCAAGCGGCAGATGTGGAGGTTGTCAGATACAGAGGGCTCTTCAAGTCATGGAAGCAACTGAGCTCACCTGGAGAAGTGAAGAGAGAAGGGAGGGACCCGAAGCAAATGACAACCACTTGTGTCCCTGCTGGCAAGGTGCTTCCCTTGTGCACGGGGGACCCAGAGCCAGAAAAGCTCCATTAATACAAGGCAGACCAAGTTCTGGACTTGAGTGAAGTGTGGGCTCCGGAGCTGGAAGGGGGCTAGGCTAATTTGCAGAGACACCTTGCTTCTGCTAATTAAGTTGCAAGTGGGAAAGATCTGAGCTGCAGTTGTGAGATAAAACCACGAGGTGGCGCCTGAGCACCGCCTTCTGCCAGATTTCCCCACCTTGCACATACAACTGGGTCCAAAACAGGTTATCAAAGGATGGGCAGAACTGAGTTTTTTCTTAACATAAAGTCCAAACTCAAGATCACTGAAAAGGGGAGATGGGGGAATAGAGCCTAGTAGGAGAGAGATATGCCAGCTGTGCCCAATGGGAGTCAGCATATGTTGTGAGCATGCACACCCATGTCAATTCATGCCCTGTGTTCCCATGTGTACCTGTGTTCCCCATAAATGTTCCTGTGGATGTTGTGTGCCCGCAGGATCCCAGCAATGTCTGCACATGTAACTGTGTGTACCCACAGCCGTCACATGTGTGCATGTGTCCCAGACAAGGAGGTGTGCAACCTCCATGTCCCAGAAAGCGAGGACCCCAGAGTCTGAAAACATGGGACCCTGGGCTTTGGGGGAGCTCTAGAGCAGCAGCCAATCATGAGACCGCCCCTCCCTAGTGGCCACACCCCACATCACTCATGTGTCAGAGTTCCTGCAGACTGTGTTTGGGTTCCATGTCTGGCTGCCCAGGGTCAGCTTCACGTGGAGCCTTTCTTCAAAGCCGGAGGCACTCATTCATCATTGATCCGGTAAGCATTTACTGACCGACCATCTGAACACCAGCCACACTGATAGAAATACTTTCCTGTGTTTCCTTCAAGTTGTTTTTTTTTTTTTTTTTTTCACAAAGTAGTTTATGAGACAGGAAAGCAAAGTTAGTCACCACCGCAGAGTCTGGAAGGCTGATTAGGGTGTTCGAACCCTCGTTCCTGAAGATGAGCCATGGGGAACCCCAGGAGAGTTTTCAGGAGGGAGGGAACACAGGCCAGCCACTCTTGTCACTGACTGGAGTTAGAACTATACAGAAAGGGACGTGAATGAAGTCAGGAGAGCAGCAATGGCAATGGCCAAACCAGGGGTTCTTGAATGCTAGTGTGCTTCCAGATCTCCTTAAGGATTTATTAAAACAAACTGTCGGCCGGCGCCGCGGCTCACTGGGCTAATCCTCCGCCTAGCGGTGCCGGCACACCGGGTTCTAGTCCCGGTCGGGGCGCCGGATTCTGTCCCGGTTGCCCCTCTTCCAGGCCAGCTCTCTGTTGTGGCCAGGGAGTGCAGTGGAGGATGGCCCAGGTGCTTGGGCCCTGCACCCCATGGGAGACCAGGAAAAGCACCTGGCTCCTGGCTCCTGCCATCGGATCAGCGCGGTGCGCTGGCCGCAGCGCGGCTGCCATTGGAGGGTGAACCAACGGCAAAGGAAGACCTTTCTCTCTGTCTCCCTCTCTCACTGTCCACTCTGCCTGTCAAAAAAAAAAAAAAAACTGTCGAGTTCTACCCCATATCTGCCGATCCAGTGGGTCTGGGATGGGCTCCAAGAACTGTCACTTCCAACAAGCTCCCCGGTATTACTGCTGATGCTGGTCCAAGATCCACCCTTGGAGAACTCCTGTTCCGTGAGAAAGAATAAGGCAGGGTAAGGTGCTGAGAGCCGAGTGCTGAGTGCCTTCTGGGATCCCTCAAGTCTCCTGCATGGGCATACCATGGGCGGGTGCTTATGGGTCAGAAATGGCGATGTTCCATGAGGACTAGCTCAGAGGGGGTGATGGAAAGATCCAAGACTCTTCAGGCACAATTGGCAAGTTGTGAACGTGAAGGCTGGTGGTGCCATTCACAGAACCAAAGCACAGAGGCGGCAAAGCAGGTTGGGGTCGGCAGTGGGCGTGGCTGGGATAGGGAGTGCAGTTTTGGGACTTGGAAAGTTTCAGGTGGCTGCAAGGAGACACCTGGAGGGACCAGCCCACTGACAGCTGGGACTGTGGCTCCGGGGCTGCAGGGAGAGGTGCAGACTGGGGAATGGCACGGCTGGGAGGCAACAGCGGACAGAGGGTCCTGAAAGACTTGAGAGGAAGGGATTTTCTCAGAAGGCACAGATAGGAAGAAAAGGCAAACGCTTCTACTCTGCCAGTGAGTAACTGACGTCAAGGACAGGGGTGAAGAGAGGAGACAGTGGTCAGAGTAGGAGGAGGGGAGGAGGGGAGGAAGGGAGTGAGACAACAAACCAGTGTCTTAGCTGCAGAAAGTAGGGAGAAGAAACCCCAGGAAGCCACCAGGCAGAGTCCCAGCTGTCACTCTGGCCTTCCCACGCCTGCTGGAGAGAACACAGGAGAGAGGACGCCCTCCTCCTCTGTCCTCCTGGACTTCTCCCAGGGGAGCCCAAGAGCCCGCGTGCCAGGCACCGAGGCCTCGCCGGCAGCTTGAGAAAATCACACACACTCGCGCACGCACCCGGGCCTCAGATCCAGACTGCACAGGAAGCTGCCCGAGCTGCCAAGCCTGCTTCACCCACCACCCTCCACGGTGACTTCAGTCTCTGCAAAGTTCTCAGATGTTACTCATTTCTTTGAAAGGTAGAGACACAGAGGGAAAAGGAGGTCTTCCATCTGCTGGTTCATTTCCCCAAATGGCTGCTACGGTTGGGGCTGGGCCAAACTGAAGCTGAAGCCAAGAGCCCAGAACCCCACACCCAGGTCCCCCATGGGGGTGACAGTGGCCCAGGTACTTGGGCCGTCTTCCACTGCTTTCCCAGGCACATCAGCAGGGAGCTGGATGGGAAAGCAAAGCAGCCAGGACTCAAATCTGTCCTCCGATATGAGATGCTAGCATTGAAAGCAGTGGCTTGATCTGCTGCGCCACAACACCACCCAGGGGAAAGTACCCAATGACAAATCCTTGGGGCTGGCATCCTTTGTGGGCACCGGTTCAAGTCCCAGTGGCTCCACTTCCGATCCAGCTCCCCACTAATGTCCCTGGGAAAGCAGCAGCAGATGGCCCCAGTGCTTGGGTCCCTGCATCCAAGCCAGAGACCCAGAAAAAGTTCCTGTCTCCTGGTTTCAGCCTGGCCCAGTTCCAAATAATAAATAAATCTATTTATTTATTTATTTGAAAAACAGAGTTGGGGGGGGTTGAGAATCTTCCATCTGCTGGTTCACTCCCCAAATGGCCACCAACAGCCAACGTTATGTAATCAGCGCTTCGCTGCCACAACCTCTACCTGTGCGTCTTCCTGCTTCACGCCCATTCTCCCCAGCCTCCCTCTCATTTTCCTTTCTTGGATTCTTGTCTTGGCCTCTCCAGAAAAGGAAGGTTGGATTTTAGGAGAGAGAAGGAGGGAGGGACTGCAGAAGTGGGGAACACACCTGACAGCCTTAGCAACACACAAACACAGGACCTGTGCATGTCAGTGCAGTCCCCGGGCACCCAGCCATATGCCTAAGTCATGGCAGATTCCCTCCACAGCCTCTGGACATCCCAGTGCTACCTCCAATCAGCCCAGGAACATCCTGGCTCCTTGTCAGGTGCACCTCATGCCAACCCCACCCCAGGCAACTCTCTCTGGCCCGTCCATGATTCCAACCTCCTTCCAGATCCTGGCTCAAGTCATTGTGAGTACTGAAAGAAGTGGGCACCCTCAGAGGAGTTCTGATCTGGAACCCTTCCGGGAGACCACGATGGGCCCTCAGCATGCATGTGCACGCGAACTGGGGGCCTGAGTCTGCAGCCTGCGGACTTTCTCCACATTCCCCAGGGCCCATTGCATCCCAAGGCCGGTGGGCTGGGTCGAGAAATGGCGGATGCCCATTTTACAGACGATGAAACTGAGGCCAGCCAAGTGTGGCGCTTTGCTCAAAGGCAAGGATGTCATGGAAGTAGAAAACGTAGAGCATCTGAGCCTCAGCCTCAACTGCCAGCTGTGAGCCCACAAGGCGGCTTAGACCAGCAGGGGTCGAATTCACGCCTCCCCCCCACCACACACACCACACACACACACACCCCCGCTGGTCTCGCCAAAGCCATACCTCCTCCTTGGCGGTCGCTGGGGAGAAGGGAGAGAGCGGCCACAGCTTGTCTCTTTAATGCGCGCCCCCGGAGGCCCGGCGCGCCCCCGCCACTATAACTGGAGTGCATGGAGCGGGCTGCTCTCAGAGAGCCAAGGGCGGGCGTTGGGCACCCGCCCGCCGACTTTCCCCAAGTGCGAGCGGCGCCCGTCAGTCCCGCCTCCATGGATCCGCCCGGGGGCACCTACTGCTGAGAAACGAATGCTTGCGGGTCCCTGAGCCCGGGTGCACCCGGCCGCCGCCCCGAGAGTCCCGCGGGCCGGGCCGCCTGCCCACAGCGCTCGCCGTCGGGCGAGGGCTCCGCCGCCGCCACGCCCCGCGCCCGCGCCCCAGCCGCCCCATGCTGGTGCACACTTACTCCGCCATGGTGAGTAGCCCCGCACCGGGGGGTCGAGGAGCCGGAGCGCCAGGCCCTCCACGGGTTCCCGTCCCCGCGCCAACGAACTCTGGGCGGGCGGGCGCCGCGGAGACTCCGCCAGCTGAGAGCGCTCGCCCGTTCGCCCCGCGGGTCATTCTGAGACGGACTTGGGCCCCCGGGAAGGGACGGCAGCGGGGCCCACGCGAGCTTAGGAGGACTCCCTCGGGCTTGGTCGTTTCAGTGCCACTGCGTCGTCTAACGCGCCCCTCTCCGTCCCCAGGAGCGCCCCGACGGGCTGGGCGCAGCGGGCCCCCGTGAACCTCTTTCGGTTCTGCCGGAAACCTCCTTTACACGAGGCCTTCCCTTTTGTCACACGCCGCCCCAGCCCGGTTTTCAGCCACCCTTCCTTCCCGCCGCCCTACCCGCAACCGCCGCTGCCCTACGGCCAAGCGCCCGACGACGCGCCGCGGTTTCCTCACCTGGCCGAAAACCATACGGCGGCCCGGCCGCCGTGGGCAACCGCAGCCCCCGCAACCCCCCTTGGGGCGCGGCCCCGCGCCACCGCCCGCGCCCACGATGAGCCGCCCGGCTTGCTGGCGCCGCCTGCCCGGGCCCTGGGCCTCGACCCGCGCCGCGACTACGCCGCCGCTGTGCCCAGGCTCCTGCACGGCCTGGCCGACGGCGCGCACGGCCTGGCTGACGCGCCCCTCGGCCTTCCGGGGCTGGCAGCTCCGCCTGGCCTGGAGGACCTGCAGGTGAGGCCGGAGAGCTTGGGGATGTGCGGAGGACAGGCCGTGGTGATTCTGCAGCCTGGCTGGGGACCAAAACAGCGATCCTTGCAAACGCCCCCCCGAATTTCCTCCGGGCCCGCATTGCTTCCCTCGTGACTCCGAGGATGCGCCCCACAGCCTGGGTTAGACAGGGTCTGGCCCTTCAGGCGGCCCGGCCCCAGGTCCGCGAGCAGTGCCCGAAGGCGGCATACCTCGGTGGGACCGGGCTGCTTCCCTCCTTACCCTCTGTGCGGTTGAGCCTCACGGGGCATCCCTGCCCAGGCCCGGGCTGCTGCTGGGGCAGCCACACCTGGTGCGAAGAGGCGCGCGGTAGTTGCCCGTCTAAGGCGAGGTTCCCAGGCCACCAGCCCGCCCGCAGATGGGGCCGAAGCGCGGCGATTCTCGGTCCCGCTCGTAGCGGCCGCAGGTGCGCATTAGGCAGAGCCCATAGGGATGCGGCGCAGCGCGGGCTTGGGAAGCGATGGCCACGCGATCCACGCCGCCCTTTTCTGCTTGCAGGCCGTGGACGAGCCGGGAATGAGCCTCCTGGACCAGTCGGTGATCAAAAAAGGTAAGGAATGCCTGTGCGTCCGCGGGGGCAGTGCCGGGTGAGACGCCGCAGGCCCCAGACGCACGGACCCACGTTTTCCGCGGGGGGCCGCCGCCGGGAGCTTGTTCCAGCCCAGCAAAGGGGCGGCGAGGCTGTGGGCCCGGCCAGGTGTGGGCAGCGGCGCGGGCTTGGCTTGGCAAGCTGGTCCCGGGGCGAGCCGCCCGGGTGGGCCTGAGCCTAACGGTTCTGGGTGGAGGGCGCTCTTGTGGATGCAGAACGAGTTGAGCCACTTCCGCGTGTCCTCGGAGGTGGGAACGGGAGCGCTGTTCTCGTGGGTTTGGGTAAACGATTTCCAGCTTACAGGGCCTTGGTATCGCTTTGTGCCCGTTCCTTGCCAGCTTGGCCCCGCTGGGCTGATGGGTGGGCGCGTGTTCTGATCTCCCCAGGCCGTTTGCTCTCAGCCGGAGCTGCTGGCCATTTGGGAGGAGGGAAGCTGGTGTGAGAGTGTGGCTCGCGAGGCCGGGTGGCGGCTGCTGCTGTAGGCCTCCGTCAGGGGCCTGCGTGTGGCTCCATGCTCCTCTCCTGCGTGGCTTTGCGTTTCCTGGCGCGTGGATGTCTGATGTGAGTGTGTGTGTGCTGCTCTCTGTGTGTGCTGGGACACATTGCTCCGTGTTTGGGGGTCTCCACGTGCGTGAAGGTTCTCTGTGTGACCTGGAATGTGTTCTTTGAGGGCGTCTACAAACGTGAGGTCCCTCCCTGTGTATTTCCAGGGGTGTTTACCTTTGCAAAAGCCAGGGTGAGAGACCCACCGAGTGGATTTTCCCCCAAGGACCAAGTTCTTGTGGTTCCCTGGGAAAGGAGAGACACACAGAGACAGGAAGGGGCACAGACTCAGAAAGGGCCCCGGGAAGTGGGCCAGCTCCCTAGCTCTGGGTCCGTGCAAGAGGGGATTCCAAGCCCACCAGAGCCCCGCGGCCAGTGCTTTCAAACAAGTGAATTCAAGCCCAGGCTGTTTGCCCTCCACCTGCTCTCCGGGGAGGCTCAGGGTGGGAGTGGGGTGGGGGGGCAGCGGCTGGGAGGTGGCTGAAAGGCCTGGAGGTTGGAGTAGGTGGATGAAGGGACAGGGTGCCCTGAACTTGGGTGGGGGTGTGGTGGGGAGGGTGTCTGCAAATTGAGGCTGTCGTGGAGAGGGCCATAGGGAGGACGCTGGCACTGGACCCAGCTCTTCTGCAACCCCACGGAGGAAGGGAGAGCTGGATCTGCCGCCCCAGGGGCTCCCCTCCCGCCCCCTCTTCCATCCCAACTCCAGCCGAGCTCAAGAGGCTGGGACCTAGTTCCCTTGACTCCCTAGGGAGCTAAGACTGCATTTTGGGAAGGGACTTGGGAGGCCTCTGCCCTGGAGAAGGATCGCCTCTTGCTCTGAGCACCATGATCCTGAATCCCCGGCCAGGAGGCAGGACGTGAGGAGAGACTGGAATTGCCCCAGAGTTGATTTCTTTCCGAAGACATCAGCTTCCAGGATTCCCCGGTCCTTGGACGTGCGCCGGGATCCCCACAGGCAGTCCCGAGAACCACAGCAAGCGGCCGGGGAGCGTCCCCTGCGCTGCGCATCTCAGACTGCTGTGAGCGCGCACACCAGCAGGGCGCAGTGGGTCGGTGGCCGCGGGCGGCGGGGAGGAGCGTGGGCGACCCGAACCCCAAGCGAGAGGCTGCGCCAAACCCAAGCGAGAGGCTGCGCCTGGGCGCCCCACTCGGGACGTGGAATCCCCGCCCGAGGTTCCGCAGCAAAGGGGGAAGCGGCAGGAGGCTTGCTTCTCAGACGGCGAACTCGCACTGCTCGTTGTGCTTGTTGTGCGGATAGCCCGGCGCCCCGCAGCTGGTTGAGCCTTGCAGCCCTGAGGGCATGCCCGGTTGCAGCTCCGTGGCAGGCAGTGTCCACTCTGACCCTCCGCAACCTCTCGGGTCATCGTCGGGCCGATGGCTTAATGCCCTTCGTCCTCAGGCCCTTCCAATGGATGGCACCAGAGGCTCCGGTGCACCCTGTGGACTCTACCCCGCAGGCGCCCCGGCATTGAAGGGGCATCGCTCTGGGTCCTCCTGGCCTTGGTGGCGGGGGCAGCTGCGACGCTGTCATTCGGGGTCCTGCGTACGAAACCGAGGCTGAACCGCCCCACATCGCAAGCATCCTCCCTTCTGCCCGGGGGCCCGGGGCCTGGTCATGGCCAGTATAGCAGAGAGGGGACTGGAAGCTCTGCGATCCCAGACCAGGCGCGTAAAATCTCCGCTGACTCCGATACTGCAAAGCCCCCACCCCACCCCACCCCACCCTTCCAGGTCCGCCGCCCCTGGCAGCCCCAGTGTGGGTCAGGGGTGGCAGGCAGGGCAGAGGCTGACCCCTGGTTTTTGCCTGCATTGTCATCTCTAGTTTTGCAACAGCTCCAGCGACACGGAAAGCAGGTGGACGGGTGGTAGGCGGGGTGGAGCTGGGCCAGGCATGTTCCCCAGCTGAGAAGTGCAGTGAGCGGTCAGCACAGGACACCGGGAGAGCTCGGGGAGGGGCTTGAGAGCCAGCGGTTGGGCCGCCTCCTAAACAAGGGACGTTTGGACCGTCTCAGGTGCGTGGTAGGTGCTTGTTGAATGACTGAGTGGCAGATTTTGAAGCCTGACTGCCTTGGGAGAGAAGGTGTTGAAAAAGTTGCTTTCACCCTTTTAGGCACAGCACACGCAGGTGGCAGCCGCTGGTTACAAAGATTACAGGGTCGCAGCTGGAGGGGAGTGGCTTACGGATGAGAATTGGGATGTATTTCCCCTCCCCTTCTGGGGGGGGTTTGGGGAATTCTTGTCGGCAGGCGACATTGTCCTATCTCAGGGGGTCTTCAGGCCAGGGGCTGATGTAGACTGTCACCCTCCCCAGGCTCTGGGGAAGGAGAAGGGGGGTGCCAGGGTCTGGGCTCCTGCCTGCATCTCCAAGCAGAGTCCAGGATGTGGGTGAGGTCATGAAGAGGATGTCAAAAAGCTTCCTAATCAAATAATATGTGTTCTTACATTTTTAATTTATTTTCATTTTATTTGAAAGGCAAAGAGACAGAGACAGATCTTCCATCCACTGGCTCATTCTCCAAAAGCTGGCGACCCAGCACGGGCCTCCCACATGTATGACAGGGACCCAAGTGCTTGAGCCATCACCTGCTGCCTCCCAGGGTGCACTTCCACAGGAAGCTGGAATCAGGAGTGGAGGTGGGACTTGAACCCAGGCACTCCAGGATGGCATGCGGGCATCCCAAGTCTTAACTTCTGTGCCAAATGCCCACTCCAAGATAAGTAATAATACAGCAGTTAAAAATAAATAATTAAACAAATTGTTGATAAGCAAAATATAAAAAAATTTCATAAAGACAGAATCTGTTGTTTTACTTCCACAACCCTTCCTCACTTGCCCCCCAGGCTATGGTCTGCCCCAGAAAGCAACAAAAAGAACAATGCCCTAGCAGATTGAGTTGGAACTTTATCTGAGGATGGTGGGAGCCATAGAAGAGCTCAGAGCAGGGTGAGTGAAAAGCTAGATTTTGGGGCGGGCAGCCTTGTGGCGCAGTGGGTTAAGTAGCAGTCGGCAACACGGGTATCCCGTATGTACAGTGGTTTGAGTCCTGGCTGCCGCACTTCCGATCCAGCTCCCTGCTTAAAGGGTCCTTGCCATGCATGTGCCAGGCCCAGATGGAGTCCTGGCTTTGGGCCAGCCACTGCAGTGCAGCCTTTTGGAGAGTGAACCAGCAAATGGAAGATCTCTCTCCTGTCTGTCTCTCCCTCTCTTTGTAACTCTGCCTTTTAAATACATACATATACACATAAATAAAAGGTATATTTAAAAGCAACTTTCTGGCAGCTAATGAGAAGGAAGCTTAACAAACACCTCTGGGACCTGAGGAGACTCAGCTGGGCTGGGGTAGAGTCCCTCCCTCCTGTCTGCCTTCCTCCACTGTCCCCACTCCCAGGCTTTGGACCAGCGGTCCCCTAAGTGCAGGCCAGGGAGCCATCTGTATCAGGATGCCCAGAGAGGAGCTGTTGAGAAGAGCGGATTTCTCTGGCACCACCTCACGTCTGCAGAGTGGGAGTCCCCTGGAACTGTGGCCCTACAACTTGCATCTTTAAGCTGGGTCATTGAGGTAAAATTTACAGGCCAGGAATTCTCCCACTGGGAGAATATGCAATCTGATGCTTTTTGGTAAATGCGCAGTGTTACATTAACTATCACCACTGTCCATTTTGGACATTTCCATCACTCCCTACAGTTCTTCCTTCTCATTTATAGTTAATTCCCATTCACACCCCAAGCCTTAGGCAACTACTGAAGTGCTTTCTGTCTATAAATTTGCATCTTCTGGACCTGTTACATAAGTCAAATCCCGCATCTAGCTTCTTTTACTTAGTATACTGGTGTTGAGGCTCATCCCTGTTGTATTTGCTGAGTCTGTTTCGTTTTACAGCTCTGTAGTACCCCATGGTATGGCTGTCACACATTTTGTTGATGTACTGTTCAGTTGATGGGTTGTTTCTACTTTTTGGCTATCACAGATAATGTTGCTATGATTCATAGACATGCCTTTGTGTGGACATATGTTTTCATTGCTCTTGGGTAAATTCCTGGGAGTGGAATTGCTGGATTGTATCAGGAGTTTATATTTAATGTTTATGAAGCTACCCAGCCGCTTTCTAAAGTGAGGGTACTAACATTCCCAGCAGCCACGTGGGAGTGCTCCAGTTTCTCCAGATCCTCACCGACACTTGGCATTGGCTGCCTCTGTTATTATAAACATCTTGTGGTATCTCAGTACAGTTTTCATTTGCATTTTCCTAATGACTCGTGGTGTTGAACACTTGTTCGTGCTCATCTGTCTGAGTGAAATCTCTGCTCACATACTTGATGGTTTCCTGATTAGACTGTCATTGAGTTGTAAGGATTCTTTATATATTCTGGATATATATCATCAGATATATGATTTAAAAATATTTTCTTCCAGTCT